TTCAAGGCACCACCAGTCAAGTGTTAGTCATAAATCTAGTGCAAAAGTTGGATTATAGAAGTCTGACTTCAAAGTTGAAAGTTTGACAAAGATAAAGTTTAGATTGATTGGACAGACCAGACCATTTAATCCAAAAAGCATGTCATGATCATTACAATTGACCACCACTATCAATGGAATCCATTTATTTTTATTTATTTATTTTTTTTTATTTTTTTTTCTTCTTAAAAGGATCAAATATTATTTCTTCTTATTTTGCGTCTCGCTCAATTCAATCTTGAGATAGTCTTCATTAAGCAGGCAGAAAATGATTTCAAAATTGCTATCATCTCTTCAATTGCACAAAACATAGTTTGATTAGCCCATCAATCGTGACATGATTCAAGAAATAGTGATATGCATAGTAACTTGTCAGCAATTAACAATTTTTGAATACAAGGTTCAATTATTGTTGAAGGGTGGAAACAGTATAACAAATTTGAAGTTGGAAGTTCTGAACAACTAGAGATGTTTTCAAGATTATCAAGGTGAGCTGACTAGCAAACAAAAGCAGTCAATCTCAAGCTAAAATTAGCTTCAAACATGGCAACAACAGAAGCAAGTATCCTCAAAGCCGATGCCACAATCGACCACCATTAAAAAAAAAAAAAAAACATAAACTTTCTTTTGTTTCTTTTCTAAAACAGGGAAATATTCCTTACGTAAAAGATATCTTGAAGACCCAAATTTGTTGCAAAAAAATAAAAAAATTATTGCATTGTTTCTCCTATGATAAACGTTTTCTAGTGTGAGACAATTATTTTTATTTTATTTTATTTATTTTTTATTTCTTTACTAGGATAAACATTTCCTAATATAAGACATTTAAAAACTAAAAAAAAAAAAGGGGGATAAAATATTGTGGTGATTTTATTTGATGATTCTGTTAATTGAGATCTTCCTAAAGTACTGAGATTTAGTTTAGCAGGACCCTCCTACATAATGAGATTTAGATTAGTAGGACCCTCCTACATAATGGGATTTAGATTAGCAGGACCCTCATACATAATGGGATTAACAGGACCCTCCTACATAAAGGGATTTAGATTAGCAGGACCCTCTTACATAATGAGATTTAGATTAGTAGGACCCTCCTACATAATGGGATTAGCAGGACCCTCCTACATAATGGGATTTAGATTAGCAGGACCCTCCTACATAATGGGATTAACAGGACCCTCCTACATAATGGGATTAACAGGACCCTCCTACATAATGGGATTTAGATTAGCAGGACCCTCCTACATAATGAGATTTAGATTAGTAGGACCCTCATACATAATGGGATTAGCAGGACCCTCCTACATAATGAGATTTAGATTAGCAGGACCCTCCTACATAATGGGATTAACAGGACCCTCCTACATAATGGGATTTAGATTAGCAGGACCCTTCTACATAATGGGATTAGCAGGACCCTCCTACATAATGAGATTTAGATTAGCAGGACCCTCCTACATAATGGGATTAACAGGACCCTCATACATAATGGGATTAGCAGGACCCTCCTACATAATGGGATTTAGATTAGCACGACCCTCTTACATAATGGGATTTAGATTAGCCGGACCCTCCTACATAATGGGATTAGCAGGACCCTCTTACATAATGAGATTTAGATTAGCAAGACCCTCCTACATAATGGGATTAGCAGGACCCTCTTACATAATAGGATTTAGTTATTTTCTCCTAGGTAAACACTTCTTACTCTGAGACATTATTTTTTTTTATATTTTTTCTCCTAGGATAAACGCTTCCTAATCTGAGTTTATTTTTGAAAATTTACATTTGCTAATAACTCACAAAAATTTTCCAGTGAAAACTGGGGCAAAATTTTTGTTTATTTCTTTTATTTGTGATGGTTTTCAGGGTTCTTCAAGCGAAACATGGATTGGAAATTCAAGAACAAAGTTTCAACTCTTTTTCAGAATGATCAATTTCATGATAGTCAGAATCAGTTTCTTCAATGCATATAATAGCCTGACTTCCTAACATCTATTTTTATTCAGCTTCTGATCAAGAAAACATGCAGTTATTCAAGAACATATTCAAATTGTCATTTTGAAGAGTGCCAAAAACACACTCTAAGCGGCAAGTTAAGCCTCAATCCAATTCAAAATCAAGACATTCACCCAAAAATCAAGGTGATATCTGAAAGTAAAGACACAAGTGAAGACTCAAGAGAAGCTATATAGATAGGAGCTTGTACTTTTATTTTCCTTTTGACTATTAGCTTTCATTATTTTTATTTAAGGATAGGAACCGCAACTTGGAGCCTCGACAAAACCTCACTTAACTTCAAACTCATCACCTCATCTCTTTGAACTACATGTGACCTGATTCCCCTATAACCCGGGATATGTAGGATGTCCAAAACTAGGACTCGGTTGCATATTTTTCTTTTCGAATAAGAGTCCATTCAAAACTTGTCACGTTGTCTACTTCTTTGTCTGAAAACTCTTCGTGTTTCCAGTCAAAGAGGGGCAAACTGTAGACACGTAATTTTTGACCGAATTTAAGGTATTACACTATTTTTAGTACATAAATATTGCTTTTATATATAAATTAAATATGTTATTTTTCATCGTATTTTAGTAAGTTTATTTTAAAAGATTGAAAAACTACAAAAAATATATGTTTTCTTTTAATTTTAATAAATAAGCTAGTATTTCTTAATTATATTTTTAGACTAGCTATTTGACTTTTGTTAGTTTAAAAAATAATTAAATAATATTCTTATTATATTATATTATTTTATAAAATAAAGATAAAAAATAAACCTAAAACTAACCTACACTACCCCATTAACCCCTTATACTACTACCCACTCCACTCACAACCCCACCATCTGCACACAACACACCACACTCCCTCACACGTACATCCACACACCCATTCCCACAACACACCACCCCCTATCCTACATATACGACCCATTCCCAGAAACAAAAAAGGGGGATCAGAAAAACAACACACAATACACAACACACACACGAAGAAAGGGAAAAAACAACAACTCATATTTTATTTATATTTTTTCTTTCACTCACAAACAAAAGTTGAGGTCGAGGTTCACTTTCGTGGTTTCGAGTTCGTGGTTCCTTATTAGGATTGCTTCTTTTTTTGTGAATTAAATTTTCGCAAGAGGTACTATTTAATTTTTATTGTATAGTTTGATTTCATGATTATATAATATTTGATTCTAATATGATATGAAGTTGCTCGAATTTTATGTGTGTTTAATTTTTATATTATAATGTTGAAATATAATTATTTAAATCTTACATATCGCTAACAATGAAGATCTTTAGAATGTTGAAATTATTTATTTTCATATTTAAGGAAATATTCTTAATCTAGTATATTGACAACTATTATAAGAATAACTCATTGCATGTTAATTTTTTATTATTATTTGTTAGTTCATTGTGACGGCATACTATATCTTTGACGTATGCTTTTGTTTTATTTTTGTGTTGAATTTGTTCATTAAAAAATATTACAAATCTAGTTAGGATATTATCATTTACTGATTTAGTGTTTATAGTATATGTACATTTTCTTAAGAATATGCGGATGTCTCTTACATAATAAATGTTCATAGTGTTAATGTTAGGCAAATTTAGACCATAAAAATAGTTTCAATTAAGAATGTGGTTACACATCTTTTTGAAATACTTTAAAGAAATTTAAGGATGTAGCGATACACCTTTACCAAATTATTCTAACAAATATTTTATTTAATTAAAATCAAGATGTGAGACATAACTAATATTTTCTTATAACGTTATATGAGTTTTATGACTCGTTTCAACAGTCTGTTTCGATTAAGAATGTGGTTACACATCTTTCTTGAGACATTAAAAAATAAAATCAAGGATGCGATGACGCACCTTGTCTACTAATGTAATTAACTTCATTAATTTAAAATAGAGACTCAAAGACAACATTATTAAGTGTAATGGGAGGAAGGCAGCTATGCATCTAAATATCAAGACCAAAAATGCGGTTACGCATCTAGGTTGAGACCAAGTAAAAGTTCAACAGATAAAAAATGCAAGCAAATCATGGCCTATAAAAATATATCTGAAAGATAGTTATAATAAGTATAAGTCAATAAAAGCGACCGTGCTAGAACCACGGGACTTGAGGGATGCCTAATACCTTCCTCTCGGTCAACAGAATTCCTTACCCGAATTTCTAGTTCGCAAACCATATAAAGAGTCATTTCCTTTTAATTGGGGATTAAACAAAAAGGTGACTTGGAACACCATAACTCAATTTCAAGTGGCGACTCTGAAAAATAAAATAATCCCTTTTCGAAACGTCACTTTAATTGGAGAAACTCTATTTTTCAAACACTTCGTTTGGGGAAAAATAGGGGTGTGACAATACTTTGTTACTTAAATAATTACTAGTAATTTGTACAATTTTGGTTTTGAATAAAAAATTCATAACAGCAAATTTCAATGAAATAATCAATCAAATAGGTTAGGCTATACCAATAAAGATTGTGGTGTAATGATAAATAATATTCATTCTTAATCAAAAGACTCAAATTTAAGCCTCATTAAATATGAAGTGACCTTTTTACTTTGATTTTAAAAACTCTTAAAAGTCCAAAATTTACCTCATTAATCTCAAATGTCACTACTCACTCTGTCCCATCAAACTTATCAACAACCTTTGTCAGCCAAGTATTTTTAGCACGTCGCTTTTCCCCTCCCTTATTTCTTGACTTTTTCTTTCTTTCACTCTTTTCTTTTTTCTTCGAATGGGATGGACACCAAATTTGCTCCTTGAATTCATCAATTGAAAATAGTTATTTCGACAGAATTTTACCTCTATGGCTATGTAGTATTAGTCCCACACGTCAATTATATCACACTTGATATACAAGGCTTCTTTGCAATCAATTATATAGCATCTAAATATAGAAAAGCTTTAGTTGGATGGTGAAATATCAAACGTCAACAAGTAACACATCTTTTGGTCTTATACGTGTAGTCTGTAGAATAGCTTGATGTTTTTGGCAGGCAAACTAATAGTATTATCTACAGAACATGTTAAAACAGGAAATTTTGAATACAAGAACATAAAAAAAATACCCAACAACTTTATAGACTAGTACACTTATTTATTTCATATTGTGAAAATATTAACTAGACCATGGAGTAGCCACCACAAGCAAAGGTGATTTCCTACGAACAGCGAGCCCATTACATTCAGTCATATCCAAATCCTCCCCTTTTATCCCTTTTGGTAATGCAAAACTGAATTTGTGTACGAGGTTTGCTAATGCTAGCTCATTCACCATAATAGCAAAAGGAATTCCTGGGCAGCCCCTCCTCCCTGCTCCAAACGGAATTAACTCAAAGTTTAATCCTTTCACATCAATATTACTATTCAAGAACCTTTCTGGCTTGTACTCCTCCGGATTATCCCACGATAATGGGTCTCTGCCGATTCCCCAAGCATTAATAAGGACTACAGTTTTAGCAGGTATGTTATAGTCAAATAATTTTACTTCTTCCATTGATTCTCGAGCAACTAGAAGTGGAACCGGTGCATGAAGCCTGAGGGACTCTTTGATCACTGCTTTAAGATACTGCATATTTCCTAAGTCATCCTCTGTTATCTCTGTTTTCCCTTGCCCTAATTCTCGCACTTCATCCTCTAATTTTTTCATAATTCTTGGATGCCTCAAAAGCTCTGTCATTGTCCACTCCAAAACTGTATATGTTGAATCTGTGCCGGCAACAAATGCATCCTAAGCATTATAAAGAAACACAAATTGGGACGATGGTCAAATGGTAAATATATTAGTAGTATGAATTATATTCAAACTAAATGCTTAAAAGAAAAACACTAAAGAGGGAAATTTTACCAAAAGGAGAGCTTTCAATGAATCTCTTTGAAGTGGAAAACCAGTCTCCTTTCCATTCTGAATTTCAAGCAAAACGTCCACGAAATCTTTAGCTTCACCCGCACTGTATTCTGCTTTCTTGTTCCTAATCACACGTTCTTCAATCACGCTCTCTAGATATGCATCCAAATCTTTTGCTACTTTCTTTACTTTGGTGTCCAGACCTTTAATTTTATTGAGCCATTTAAGCCACGGAATATAATCCCCAACGTTAAAAGTACCTACAAGCATAAGAGTTTCTTCTAGGAGAGTCTTTAGATCTATTCCACTTTCCCCTTCATTATATGTCCTTCCTATGTTCACTCTGCTGATTATGTTATTAGTCATACAACTTAAAACATCTCTCAAGTCTATCACTGAATCACACTGTTGCCTAATTTTATCAATCATGTTTGATGTTTCTTCTTCTCTCACATAACGATAAGATTGGACTCTTTTGTTGCTGAGAAGGTGAAGCACCATGACACTTCTAATTTGTCTCCAGTATTCACCATACGGACTAAAGGCCATGTCTTTGGAGCCATAAAAGAGTCCATCAGCCATGCTAGATTTAGGTCTATTTGACCAAACGAGATCGTGAGTTTTCATGATATCGCGAGCAGCATCGACAGAGGAAGCAATAAGCACTGGCTTACTGCCAAAGTGAAGTAGCATGACTGGACCATATTTTTTGGATAGTTTATGGAGAGAACGATGAGGAAGTGATCCAAGTTGATGGAGATTGCCTATGATTGGAAGTTTTGTTGGAGATGGTGGTGATAACTTATTTTTGGTGTTTGAAGGGCTAAAGAACCACTGATGAAGAAAGTAAATGATCACAAGCAGAGGAACGAGAAGAAAATACTCCATTTTTGTTTTACTAGTTAAGTAGTATTGAGTACAAATCAAGAATATTTGGACTCAATTATCTCTTAGGTAAGACAGAAATTGTGTGGTTGCAGTTCGAATGTCTTATCCTTTTGTCATTCAACTATTCCTTTCGTTCCATTTTATGTTAGGTAGTTTGACTCGATACGAAATTTAAAAAAGAAAGGAAGATTTTTAAAACTTGTGGTTCAAAATGAATGATAGAAATTTGTGTGACTTTAAATCATTTCATTAAGGATAAAATAGACATTTTATAGTGAAATTGTTACTTAATATAGAAATGTGTTATTCTTTTTTAGACTGACTAAAAAGAAAAATAAAGTCACATAAATTGAGATAGAGGGAGTAATAGAATTGTCAATTTTGGCTACCTTGAAAATCTTCTCAAAATATTTAGATATTCAAATTAAATCACCCCTTATCCTTAGAGAACGATATTCAATTTAGACGCTCAAATTAAATCATGTTCTAATTGAACATCTCAACTCCTAATAAAGTGTTCTAATTAGATATTTTTATCTCCAAATATTCAAAAATATGATTACATACTTGTGTTCCCATGTACTTCATCTGTCTCTAATTACTTGTTCATTTTTCCTTTTTTAGTTTGTTCCTAATTACTTGTTCATTTTGATAAATTAAGAAAGAACAATTTTTTTTACTTATTATACCCTCAATTAATTACTTTGAAAAATGTAGAACTTCTTGAAAATCTTATGTTTTTAATTCACTCACGTCATAATTAATAGGGGTAAAATGACAAACTCACTATGACAATTATTATTTTCTTAATAGGTGTGTCATTTAAAAAATGAACAATTAATTAGGGACAAAAGAAGTATATTTTTGCAAAATTTCCAAATAAAAATCGTCAATAATAATATTTATTTAAAAGTGAAATTCAACAAAGTTAAAAATTGAATACTAAAAAAATTCTATAAAATTTATATGGACTATAACACGGTGATCAAATTAGGCCAGCTAAGTGCATCTCCAACCCAATCCTCTATTTTACTCTCCAAATATAGAGTTTTCTATTTTTTCAGACAATCAACTTCAATCTAATTCTCTATGTTACTCTCTAAAAATAAATCTTTTTCTCTCTCCTTAATATTATAGTATTATTTATATTTCACTTATTTTCTTATTTCATAATATAAATTGTTTCTTCTTTTTGTAAATAATCACTCTATAATCTTTACGTAATACAAAATTTTATTTTTTTTCAAATTCTTCATTAATATAAAATTATATTTTATTCTAAATTTCTAAATAACATAAATTGCAATAAATATTATATATAATACATATTAACGAACAATTCAAATAAAAATGAACTCATTGATGAAATATAATTGCATCATAAATATTGTATTATCGTAAAATTTATTTTAAATTTTACATAAATACTCAACTTTTAAGACTATTAGGTTACTCTCATAAATAGGGGTGTGCATCGGTCGATTTGGTTTTATGTATTATCGGTTCGATTTATCAATTTTTGGTTTTTAAATATGTTAAACCAATAACCAAACCATAATATATTTTTTATTGGTTTTAGTCCTTAACGATTCGGTTTTCGGTTTAACCAATAAGAAAATATTTATAAAACAAATATATGACTTTTCTAATAAAGTTGATGCGAAAACATAATACTGTAACTTTACAATAATGCTCATAAAATAGAAACAATAATAACAAAGATGAAAAGAACTATACAAGCGTAACACAAAGAGAAATTAAGAGGAATATGGTTCTTACTTTAGATTTTAACGTTTTTTATAATGTGAAATTGTGAACTCAAAGCCATTATGAAATGTGAATTAAAGGCTAAAGGACAAAGATAGTAACTACTAAGGTATTAAGATTAATATATAATATTTATGTACAAGTAAAAGTAGTAAATTACTAGTCTTAATGGGTTATCGATTTACCCAATAACCCAATATTAAAAACCAATACTGAACCGATAACCCAATAATTTTTTTTATAAAACCATTAAAAAATCGTTAACCCAATAATAATATACCAATAACACTTTTATCGGTTGGTTTGGTTTTTGCACACCTCTACTCATGAATGTTCTATTAATGTATTACGGAGTTCAAAATAAGCATTTTTTGTCCTTATTTTTTATGTGTAGCTAAAAATTATCTAAATTAACAATTTCATCTTGTGTCCAATTATTTCGTGTACTAATTTACTTCCCCTATTCCATTTTGAACTATTGCATCAAATATTTGCATGCTCTTTAAAAAGTGTAGTTTAATAATTTTTCAATATAACATAAAAGTAGATTGTTTGAATTATCATGTAATTTTTGTGCATACTTCATAATGAAAAATAATTATAATCTAAATTACATATTTAAATGACAAAAAAAAAATTTAAAAATTAAATTAGAAAAATTGTTAATTCGGGATGAAAGTAGTATACTTATCAATAATGTTTTAGATGTTATATTACTTAGAAAATAATTATAAATATTAGAGACATAATTAATAATCTTATATAATATAAATAATATTAAAATAACTTTAAATTGCATATTTAAAGTGACCATTTCTTTTAAAAAATAAAATAGAAAAATTATTAATTTGGGCGGAAGTAATAACTTGTTGATAATATATTTTTAAATGTTATGTTACATTAGAAAATAATTACAAATGATAATAATATAATAGAAATAATATTATAATAATCAAAAAGTAAAATAGAGAGGTGAATAGTAGTTCTCCAACCTCTTTATAATTGAAGAATAGAGAGTGAAATGGAGAGTGGTTAGAGAACCCATTCTCTATTTTACTCTCCAAATGTAGAGAATGGAGAGTAAAATAGAGATGGATTGGAGATGGTCTAAGGAAGTTGAAAAGGTTCCGTTCAAAAGGAGCAATAGGACCACAAAACCAGCTCAGAAGTTATTAGATTATAGCTGGAAGTCTAGGTAACTAGAGTGGGTTAGGTTATTCAAGTATGAGGTCTTTATCAGAAGTCATTCAACGTTGATTTTTAATTTAAAATTCATTCAATTATAGATTATTTTTACAAAAAGTCTCTCAATTTAGATTTTTAATTTAAAAGTCACTTAACTATGAACATATTTCACATAAAGCATTCAACTATAGGTATTTTATTTTTAAAGTCACTCAATCTATATAACTAATTTTTTTAATAAAATTTGTTGACATGATTTTTTTATTTAAATTTTAAGAAATAAAAAAATGTCATTTAAATGATTGATCCCTATATACAGATCATAACTAACCCATTTTTATTTTTCAAATTTTTTGTTTTAAATAAAAATTACATGTCAACAACTTTTATTGAAAAAATTAATTAAATAAATTGAGTGATTTTGTATATAAATAAAATATCGATAATTGAATGACCATTTGAGATATTATTTCTAACTACATACAAGGACAGGGTTATTAAATAGTTGATAGAGATATTTTGTACGTAGGCTGAATATAGTTAGAATTCTCTGTCTCTCCCCGCTATCTGTTTGTTGAAAAAGAAATATGAAAAAGGCAAGCTTCTTTTGCAATCAGTTATATCCCAACTAAACCTGGCAAAACTTTACTTCATGATTAATTGATGTAGCATGTTAGGATATCTACCAATCCTGATTAAGGACGGACAGATTTAAAATATTTGTATATAGTTACACTAGAAAAGCTCGAGATTTATTGAATGAGCACAAATCAGATCTGTCAATGGAGAGAAGCTTGTAGAGGCAATCTTCAAATCTACCTTCCAATAGGACCTTCCCCGTTGTCCGATCCTTCACAAGACAAAAATAAGGATGGTCTCTTCGCCAACTTGACGTCAAAAATGTATTTTTACACGGCAAGTTACAAGAAGAGGTATAGATGACTCAACCTACTAGATTTATTGATCCACAGTTTCCTAATCATTTGTGTCGTTTACATAAGACGATGTATGGTCTCAAACAATCCCCTAGGGCTTGGTTTGAGAAGCTCAGTTCAACATTACTCCGTCTTAGCTTCAGTAGCTCTAAGTCAGATACTTCGCTCTTTATTCATTCATGTGGTTCCAACATTACTATAGTACTGTTGGTTTATGTGGATGGCCTTATAGTGACAGGAAGTTCCACTGAATTCATAAATACTCTCATTCTGAAGTTGTCCTTTGACTTTTCTGTGTAAGATTTAGGAGACTTGCATTATTTTTTAGGTGTGGAGGTTACTTCTTTTCCCACTGGTTTAGTATTATCTCAAACCAAATATATTAGAGACATTTTACAGTGAGTTCATATGGATGGTGCACGACCCATTTTAATTCCTATGGTCAGTGGGTTGCAATTATCCAAGCATGGAAGCACTCCCATTGAAGATCCAGCGCTATACCGAAGTCTAGCCAAGGCTCTTCAATATATCAACATTAATAGACCAGATGTATCCTATTCTGTTAACAAATTATATCAATTTATGCATTCTCCTATTTTTACTTATTTTCAAGTGATAAAGCGAGTGATACATTATTTGAAAGGGACTATGCATCCTGGTTTACAACTTCGACAATCTCCGACACTAGTTGCCAATGGCTTCTCTAATGTGGACTGGGCGAGGTGTCCTGATGATCGACAATCCACTCATGGTTATTGTATTTTCCAGGGCCTAATCTGGTATCGTGGTGTTCCAAGAAGCAAAGAGTTGTTGCACGAATCTAGTACTGAATCCGAGTATCGAGGTCTAGCTACTGCTACAGCTGAGATTACATGATTACAACATCTTTTACAAGAATTACATGTTACTTGGCCTAAATCTCCTAAGCTCTGGTGTGACAGCTTATCAACTACTTATCTTACTGCCAATCCAATCTTTCATGCTCGTACGAAGCATATTGAGTTGAATTTTCATTTTTTCAGAGAGAGAGAGAGAGTTGCCTCTAAGGATATCTGTTACTTAAGCTCAAGAGATAAAGTAGCTGATACCTTAACTAAAAGTATCTGGAGAATT